ACCTGGGAATAATTTTATTTAGAAGCAATATATACAAAAACATATGGAAAAGCACTTGGAAAAACCACATTAAATCATATCACAGTGTTTTGCAAATCTAAATTGGATTTATTTTTCCCCAGTGATTCCTGCAAAGAGGAATAGAAGAAATCCCGAAAAATGCCTGATACTGACTCAGAGTGTTTCTCTCTCTAGCTCAGGAACGTTTATTTTTGAGGATATGGGATAGGTCATCACACTTTATTCATTTTTTAAAAATGTTCTCCAAGGAATGCGAAAGTCATTGCCAACAAAAAGTTAACATCTTTGGAATTAGGAATGGTTAATTCCTATATATTTTGAAAACAGAAAAATATAATTACTTTATAGCTGAAATCGTTTTAAAAAAAGAGAAAGAAATATGCCTGAAAATCACTAGATATATGGATTTTTGTTTAAAATTACTCATCAGCCTACTGAAAACGGATATGTTGCCAAGAAATTTCGACAAGTGCAACTTCGGCAGTTTCTGGCCTGCAAGTGTCTCGCAGGCTGTTCGCCCAATCTAGTTATGTCTTGTCAAAGCTGATTTCAACCCTAAATTCCTGTAGGTTTGAGGCAGAAATGTTTCTACTCGGAGATGCCAGGGACTGAATCCAGGACCTGGATGCAAAACCAGATAGGGTGCAATTGAACTATCTTGTCTCCCTCATCTTTTGAGGGCCCCTGTTTTACAATCTTGTGACATTTCTGTGAATCTGACACTCTTCTTCAAGATGAGCTGCATTCTGCCATCAGTGTTCTTTAGCGCATCGAGATCTCAATGGCGTAGAATTGATTGAGCACGGAATGCAAAGGCGACGCTGGCATGATCTCTTCTTTCATGCGCCTGTGTATATTCAATCAGCCTAGGAACAGATTTAACTTGCATATTCAGTGTTTTGGAAAATTGTGTTAGGGCTGCTGTCTTGCTTTGATTCATTTTCCCTGCACAGTTTTGCCCACACTTACCAGCTGTGTAACCTTTTGAAGAGCAAGTTAACTCATTTGGGTGAGTTTTACAGCTCTTGCCGAGCGAGCGAAAAATAAAATAAAACAAAAAAGAGAACATATTTGTTCGGCATTTGTGAAAATCTTCAAGGCTTGCAATGTTTATCTGCTTGCGTGTCTCACATTATTCCTTAGGTGATGCTCAGCATCTAGCAAAGAAAATACATCTTTTTTTTTTTTAAAAAAAAAGTATGTTCTAGTAGACAGCCATCTGGTAGTTCAGGAAAAGACCTTATATTTCAACCTTGATTTTCAGGCAGGCATCGTGGAAGGTCTGTTTTCAAATTTGTATATTGTGACAGAACATCCTGTGTACACAAGATAATGCACTTTCATCCACTTGACTTGACTTAATGATTTCAAGTGAGATAGGATCACCCATTTTCTGCCTGCTATCTCCAGGTAGTTGAAGAAAAGACAATGTTGAAAGTGTCCACCCCCCCCCTTCCCAGAAATAAAAAATGTTTATGGTGATGTCTTACTTGTTTTTACCCTGTGCAGAGATCATGTTAATAAATATGTGGCTTAGTGAAACGATATATCAACAGGATTTGGTGTCCAGGAATTTCCTCCAACAGTTTATAGAACCATATTGTACCTTGTAGTGGGATCCTGAGTTTTTGACTGCATAATAAGGGGGAAGAAAATCACAATAGCGATAAAACTGCTCTCTGTGCTGTGTTGAAGGATAATAACCGAGGCTGTGGAGTGCTGTGAATGTGAAGGGGGAAAAAAAATGCTATGGGGCATATTTGAAGGGTTTGTTCTTTTTTTTTCTTTTGGCCTTTGAATGAGTTCTGACTATAGGAGAAGTCCATATAATTTTCTAGGCAAGATTTCGGAAGTGGTTTGCCCTTGATTTTTCTTCCTGGTCCAGGGAGAGAACACAATTCCTTGGTTTCCATGCCTAAGACAGGACTGGAATTCAGATTTCCCTGCTCCTAGTCCAACTCCTTAAGCACTAGACCAAATGGGCTTTTGTGTAGTGCCTGTTCTGTGGGCAATTTCTTAAAGCAGACTGAGATCATGCTTTTGGAAACATCCCTTTGAATCCAATATGCTGCACAGACCTAATAAAAACATAAGGAAAGCATGGCTGAATCAGACTAGATTTTTATCTGGCCAATTTCTTGTTTCCCATCCATCCAAGAATCTGGTTTTGCAAAATATCTCTAGGAGGTGTTTGCAGATTCATCATGAAGATAGTACATAATCCTCACAATCAGTTTCCTTTAAAGTCTTGTTACTGACACCACAGCTATCCTCAGGCTTAAATGACTGCATTCTATATTTGAGTGTTACATTATTCAAAGTTTTCATGAAATTATATAAATTAGAGAGAATGTGATGGCACAACTATTGGAGGTTGAAGAAATGCTGGCAACCCACCAAGAATATTGTGATCTCAAGCAAATGTGTGAGCTTTTATGCTAGTTATATGATCAAGCCAGTAGCAAATAGTTAAAAATTGAGTAAGAATTCAGGGTTTTTTGTGAAATTGTCATACAGTAGCATGATGACAAGAAGCTATACTGTAGGTAGATATTAAAAACTTATCTAAGATGAATAGAGTCCTTAAATGCCAATTCTGCCTTGAACGTCCTTCCTTGAAATATAGGAAGAACTTGGAAACTTCAGTCTTCAATTTCCAATCTTAATATGCAGATGAAATATGCTTGTTTATATGTACATTCACTATATGAGATAGACAAAAAGCCACCTACATTTGCTTAGAAACAGAAATTGCTATTCAAAAGACATAAATCAGTACTGGAGTGAATTCTTGTAAAGAAGAGAAAAGTGATGGCAATCTATACCTTTCATTCCTATGAAGACAATGGGACTACTTTGGAATATACACATTATATAAACTAGCATGGAACTATTTTACCAGGTACCACATTAACAAAGTTTTAATTAATTTAAAATTAATAAGTGTACACACAATTGATTAAATATACATTTAGTATCGTATTTAGCCACAATATAATATAAAACAAGACATTATTTAGATTTTTTTTCCCTAGCATTTTTCTCGCAAATGCTAAATTTGCCTTTTTCTGACCAATCAAGTGTTGATCCATTGGTTACCACAGGAATTGACTGGCCAGCTTGTTGCATGAGTCTGGCTAAGAGAGAGAGTGGCTGGCCCAAAGTCACCTAGCTGGCTTTCATGCCTAAGGCAGGACTAGAATGCACAGTCTCCTGGTTTTTGTCTTAGTGCCTTAAGTACTCGATACAGTATATCAAATAAGTGGCATTTTATCTTTTCCCCTCCTACTTTTAGCTGCAGATCTTTCTAACCTTTGTTCGCGTATATCTAGATCCATCGGAAGAGAACCAATGTGGAAAAATGGCAGCAAAATGGTGACCAATGGGAAAGGAAAGGAATAAGAGATTTCACCCTTTTCCTGGTCCCAATACTCTCCTTTTGAAATAAATTTGCCACTGGAAGTGACTGCTGAGATTTTATTTTATGATTTGGAAAATAATATTCCAAAATATTCTCTTTTGGAAGTCTCTTTGTCCAGATGTGTTTTGCTTATGGAGATTTTTATAGAACTTCCTTTTGAAATGAAGTTCAGTATTAAATTCCATGAAAACTAAAAGCAAGATAGCTTGTGGAACACCTTTCACTGAAATTGCAGAATTATGATGTCACATCTTGTTGCTATTATTATTCAACCACAGCCTCAGCCAGTAGTTATTACTCAGGCACAAGAACTGACTGAATAATAGCTACAAGATTTTTATTCTTTGTCAGAAAAATGGTTGAATTTCAGACTTGGGTTGGATGAAGCCTTGGGATCATAGTGTTGGGATAGACCAGGGGTAAGCAACCTTGGCTCTTTTATGAGTCGTGGACTTCAACTTCTAGAATTCCTGAGCCAGCATGGCTGGCTTAGGAATTCTGGGAGTTGAAGTCCATGAGTCATAAAAGAGCCAAAGTTGGGATAGACGGATCTTGCATTCCTACGAAGAGTAACAATTTATTCTATTAATTATTCTATTAACACTTTCTGAACCCAAATATAAACCAAAACTGCAGGCTGAAAATTTCACTTTTTATATTTTGCCATTTTAAAAGAGGGCACAACTATGTATGTATGCTTAGAGGAAAATGTGCACTCATGCCTACTCCTCAAAGGATGGAAAACTATTATAAGAAAATGTATACCATTACGTATATGATGAAATTCTGCAGAATTGTATGCAGGTTTTTTTTTGTGCAGATTAGTTCCTAACCAGTTTGATAACTGAAATGTTGAGAAATGGGATGAACTGAAAAGAAAAGGTTAGAAAAATTAGAAACAGAGGAAATTTGCTATTCTCTAGTTATATGGGTTGGGCCTAAGACCAAAGAAGCAAAAATATTTGTCAGTAATATGGAACCTGCTTCCAGTGCCCCCCCCCTCTCTTAGACAACTGAGTAATACAATTTTTGAAACCTGAGCTGAAAGGCAAAACAATAAAAAGAAATACTTTTGGAACCATCTCTGAACTAACAAGATGATCCTTTGGGAGATAAGATTTTCATACTTGAATGATTTGTCCCAAAGTTGCTTTTCCAAAAGGCAACTGGACTTTCTTAGCTCTGGAGCACAAAAGACAAGAAAGTCCAGTTAACTTTTGGAAAAGCACCTTTGGGACAACCATGACCTGGATGTTTGAGAATCTCCATAGACACTTGAGTGACTTGTTCATTTTTATCATGCTACCAAGTGGAAAATGTGTCATCTACTGCGTTCTAGATACCTCTATATCAGCTGGGTAGAAGATGGACAGACTCCTAAGGTCAGAACATGGCTTATGATGATAACCTTATGAATGCCAACAATATGGCTATAGAGTCTATTAAAAGTTGACTTAGATTAGCAGAGGAACAATATACCTAATATTCTCCTAACTCATCTGTGCACGATTGTTCTTGTACCCCAAAACTCCAATTGTATCAAAGGAGATTTTCTTACTTTACTGGCTCCCATGATTCCCGCTCAAAGCCCCTGTGAATGGACTGGGCAATAGAGGACTCCATGAGATCGACATATCTAACCACAAGTGGAGCAAAGAGATCTTGGAGGTGTTTGTGGTATTTTCCATTGCACAAATTATCTAGAAGAAACAAACAAAAGCACAATAAGACACTTTTAGCAGCATTCCACAATTACCCAGTGTAATTTTTTAAAGGTCACTTTTATTAGGACAAAAGAACTAAAATCGAAGGCCCTGCCAATGAAAGAATCTCATGTCAATTTATTTATTCTAGAAACATTTTAATATAATCAAGGAAATAATACAACCCTGGCACTGATTGTTTTTGACCAATACTTAAGAATCACTTGAGTAGAATTTTGGCTACTCCATCTAAAAAATTAATATGCTTTTTAACATTTTACATTAAAAATAAATGTTAACATAAATGTATGTATTTAGTTTCAAGAAGCTCATCCATTACAAAGATATTTAGTTCCAAGTAGCTCATCTATTACAAATATAAATAAATAAATATAAACCATAAATATATGGTTTCATTTAGAATTCTAAGACCTCTTGGAAACTTTAATTTTTTTTAAAAAATGAAACTTTTACATCAATATGGAAAACTAAAGAAGAAAGCCCAAACTTATCAGAAACATCCTTTCTGAATCTTTCTGAATAAGAATGCTTGGATACATGCAGTATAGTCTTGTGCAAACTTATTTGGGGGTAAATCCCAGCATATTCAATAGGAGTTAATTTCTATCAGTTGAATCTATTACTGAAGATTTAAACTAGTTTAAATTATTATTGCCAACCCACCCATAATCCCAAGAGATGATCTTAGGAAATCAAGCAAGTATTTTTAGGCAGACTGACATCTGTGCAAGGTAATGCTTCAATTTTCTCACAAGTCTATTTGTCACATTGTGTTCCATACCGTTTGCTTCCGAAACCGTGAGAACAGTGAAAGAAGCCATAGTGAATAAAATTAACAATCCAACTAATCCAATAATCCAAAAGAAACTTCTGGGCCATTTTTTTCAATAAAAAACTGCTCTTTGCCTTAAATTGTCAAACAATACTTCATGTCCACAGTGAAAACATTGCCTTCAAAAGTACATTGTAATATATTCCTTTAAGGAGATGGTGGTAGATAAGGAAAACTAAAGTGTTTGTGTGAATCCAACACATCAAGAGCACTTAAGGGGACCCTTTTGAATAAATCCATGTCATTTAGTTTGGCTCAAAACTTATCTTGATTGCACCTTTTCAGAAAAGTTCCATTACTTTTTTTTAATTTGGTTCTCAGAAAACTTCCAAAAGTGACAATAGTGCTGCTTTTGTTATTCTTTTATATTATTATTTTTAGATATCTATGACATTTTAATAGTTTTTATTTATTTGTTATTGTTTAGGATACTTCAGATATTAGGGTATTTTTTCCTTTTTTTTAATTCATCTTTCTATGTGTGTTTGAATTCTATTCTTAAACAACAAAGAAAGCTCTGCTTCACTTAAACTTAAATCTTTTTACGTAGACTTCTCAGTGAGGAAAAATATGTCTTTCTAATCTGCATGTTTCCCAAGTTATTATGGCTCTCGCCTATCTTTAAAAAAAAAAGACAAAATTTTTGTTTTACTGTATATAATGCTAAAAAAACCAACAATTTGTTCCTAATGCAAATCTCCCCATTTGCACACAGATGAGTAAAGCTTTGTATATGCCACAAGTAAGTACCAGAAGCGGCTGGCACAGTCTTTTCTTTGGTCCCCTGGCTTTTCTGATTTTTGAGGTAACGGAAGGAGGTAGATTCTCTTCACAAGTCTGCAACCATTTCTGCAGTCTCCCCAAATGGGTTTCATGCAATTAACATGACCTATCAGCTGATTGAAGGAGAAATTACAAAGCTGGTTGGTATTGCTTGTTTATAAATTGAAGAACAAGGACTGGACATCTTTTTGCAGGAGTATGCATATGCTCTGAGGTATGGTTGTGGGGTGCTTTTGTGTGTGTGTGTGTGTGTGTGTGTGTGTGTGTATCTGAATATACAATAAAAGTTTTCTTTCATAAACATTCAGAAAAATGAGGGCTCCTTGGTACTCTCCGAGCTTGGTTGTTTTCTTTCATTACCCAAACTAAGTAACATCTTCAGTGCTAGTCCATTCAGAAAACCTCAGCAATTTGTGAAGTCACTTTAAGTGACTTACCTAAAAGATTAAGTGAGGAAGAACTAGAAATCAGTCAAAAACAGCATTAGCCCAACCCTTTTATCTTCACAGAGAATAAATTAAATGGCCAAAGTGCAATACATACAGTCACTTCGAAGGGAATCATTTAGAAGCTGAAACAGTGGAAAGCTGTCCCAGGTATCTGGAGGCTGGACCTCCAGCGCAGCATCCATGTCTACCGCAAACAATGAGAGGAAGGTTTCCGCGTGTTCAACCATTAAGTCTGACCACCAAGCAAAGGCCTTGAAAAGTTGTAAAACAAAACACAATTTAAAGAAAATAAACAGAAGTGTTATCAAATTAGATTTCACCTTTGGGAGGCCTTAAATAGTAAACCTAGTGGATATCTTATATAAATCGAGCTTTATTGTAAAGCAAACAGTAGTACAAATGCTAGCATGTTGCAGTCATAATGCAACTAGGGTGCAACACAGCATCTGCTTCTCAAGAAGTAACTTGTCAAGGAGCAAAAGAGATGTACAACCTTCCATGTCTGCACTTCTAATAATGGAAGTGCACCTGTTCGGCTTACAATAAATCACTTAATTCCTTGTGGATCATGCTCTTTCTTAAGAGTTCCTTGTATAAAATATATCACATTTGGGAGTTTCTTCACTGTGTTTGTAGGTTTTATGCTTATTTTTCCCAAGGAACCCTCGATAATTATTACTGTAAATTACCAAGTATGAACATTAGGGATTTAATGGCCACAAAATACCCCACATTTCCCATTCAAACTCAGCTAGTGGGTTAGTTTTCAACATAAATTAGTAAATCACAATGAAAAAACCTCCCGCATGATATTAGAAGAGCTATCTAAAGTCAAGCTATGATAAAATGACTAATAAATAAATAAAGTTGAAAACCAAGAAATATCAGTGAAGTAACTCATGGTCATGCGCACGGTCCTCAAGAAGTCACTGTAGAGCTTCTCTGAAATGACATTCACATCATACATGTCTCAGATGTGAATGTGCTAGGAACACATGCACGCGTGTTTAAAATCACTTCTGGCTTAGGAACATGCAACATGAGTGGTGTTTTCAATAGGACCTTGTGCAGCAATGACTAAGCAATAAAAAAATTACTAAGAGCTCAATGCCTATGTACAGTTAAAAAAAATCATTGTTATTTTCTAAAGAGGTAGAGTATTCTGACAGTCGAGGCAAGGGCGAAGAATATCTGGTTAAATATATATCACTGAAACCCTGCTCCATAATCCATGTTCTTGCAGGTAATCTTCCTGGTGATTACCTCTGAAATATAGAAAATACTCTCTTGAAAACATATATGTATTAGTCTTGTTTAGCCTCTTTTCGGAGACAGATGAAGACTTCTTAATTTTTCCGGGCACTGTAATCTTAGCTGGAAATGATTAATTCTATTTTTCTAAAATTTTTATTAGTTTACAAGAGAAGCACAAATGAATAAACTTTGCATATCCATTCCCTAGAACAGGAGTAGGCAACCTTGGCTCTTTTATGACTCGTGGACTTCAACTCCCAGAATTCCTGAGCCAGCCTGTTGGCTCAGGAATTCTGGGAGTTGAAGTCCACGAGTCATAAAAGAACCAAGGTTGTCTACCTCTGCCCTAGAATGAAAAGGACAAATCAGTACATAGGTAACATAAATTCTTCTGATCTCAAGGAGACTGAGGTATATATCTTTCTCTGAATCTTGCTAACGTTTCATTGGCAGAACATATTTCCAAGAAGAGAGTTTTGTCTTTCATGTTCCCTAGTAAATAGGACAGGGGTCTCTTGAACACAGTAGACAGAGGACTAGAGGACTTACTTGTAGAAGGGGAAGGGGGATACTCCACATTATTCAGTGGAATTCCCATATGGGTCAGATGGCACTATGTAATGTTAGGGGGATCTCCTTAATTCTCCATTCTAGAGACCATTCCTCTCATTTGGGAGCTTTCTGCAGCTTGTCAGGTGAAGAAAGCATTGAAGAAGTTAGCGTTTCAGAATTCCATTCTGCCAGCATGACATTGGAATTTGATGCTTGTGAACATTTTGGGGTTGGTTTGTTTAAAGTACTTGAGATATTTGGAACATAATATGAGCTTTTAAACTGAAACTGAATTATTAGTTATTTATATTTAATATCAAGAAAGAAGACGGTGAGAAAAATAAAAGAAGATTCAACAGAAATGAATGAATAGGCATTATAATAATAATGATGATAAAATTGCAAGGGACCTTGGAGGTCATCTAGTCCAACCCCCTGCTCAGGGAGGAAACCCTATACCATTTCAGACAAATGGCTGTCCAGTTTCTTCTTAAAAACTTCCAGTGTTGGCGCATTCACCGCTTCTGGAGGCAGGTTGTTCCACTGGTTAATTGTTCTAACTGTCAGGAAGTTTCCCCTTAGTTCTAGGTTGCTTCTCTCTTTGGTTAGTTTCCACCCATTGCTTCTTGTTCTGCCTTCAGGCACTTTGGAAAATAGCTTGACTCCCTCTTCTTTGTGGCAGCCCCTGAGATATTGGAACACTGCTATCATGTCCCCCCTCGTCCTTCTCTTTGTTTGTTTCTAAAACTGTTTTAAGTGAAATCTAGCCATGGATATTAATTTTAAATGTCAGTTAAAAGATATAACTGACATTATAAATATATCAATTCCCTTTTATAGAACAATTCCTTGTCAAGTAACTGTCTTCTATTAAACCAATACTATTTTGGTAATTTAAGAACTTTATTCAAGAAGTAATTATAATATGGATGAGATTCATTACCAACACCATATTTTGACAAACACAGGCAAAGGCATATTAGAAGCAATGAACTGAGACATCCTATATCCTACATCTTTATTTAAATAATGCTTTTGGTCCTTCTGTTTTCACTGGCAAATGTTGTCGGTACGGATCAAAAATGAGAACAATTCTAGTATAATTGAATAAATGCCATCAAACTGTAGATTCCCTCAAGAATTCTGGTATAGCTAATGTTTTCCTAAAAGCAGGAAAGCATTTTTATCTATACTGGTCATTTATATATAGCTCCTAAAGATTAATATTAATGTCATAAAATGTATATATTATAGGGAACTGTATAATATATACATTTTATGACATTAATATTAACTTTTAGGAACTATATCAATGGCGATAGAATTACTTTCCTACTTTCTATAACGTCACCTTTATACATTACAATGAATGATTCCTATAAGGTCTAAGTTTTAAGAGAAAAATTCTTCTATACTATTGAAAGTTATATAAATTCCATAAGAAATGAGGGGAAAATTGCTATTCGACAGTTTTATTTTGTCTAGGAACCTTGTTTCCATAATAGCCAGTATTAGAGTTTCATGAGACTTCTAGAGATTCAATCCAAATAATTCTGCATGTTCTCCAACTAAAAAGTTTCCAACAAAGGTTATTAATAATTCTGCCTTTATACATTGCATAAATCCAGTCTAGCGGAAGAGCAATGTAATTGCATTGGCATTTTGAGACAACACGAACACATTTATTGCAATCCTCTATAATGTTAACTGTTATATCAAAACCAATAAAAAATCTTGTGGCATCTAATGATTAACTTTTTAAATCTTTTAACATTAGTTGTGGATTCTAGATTGCAAAATCTCACCGTGTAATAACTTTATGCTGCTCAGAATCTTTTTTGAGATAATTAGTCTAGAATTCAACCATTATATACCATTTTCATAAGTGAGAAAAAGAGCCAGTGCTTTTGAAATTCAAAGAAAGAAAAATGGTCTGGATTATTTTATTGTTTTATGACTGTTTTTAACCTTGTACGCCGCCCTGAGTCCTTTGGGATTGGGCGGCATATAAATATTTGTAAATAAATAAATAAAATAAATGGTCATTTATGTAAAAATGTTTTTTTTTAAATTTTGTAAATAGCACTGAATTTGCATCTAATAATAAATCTGCTTTCTCAGGTCCAAGCTATCATCCTGAAATCTCTTTCTGAAAACGAGAAAAATCACATTGCTATTCAAGAATATCATTTCCCAATAATAAAATTTACTTTGCCTTGACTTACCTTCTTTATAATAAACATATGAAGGAAATGAAAATCCTACATCACGAAACCTATGATTTATTTGACCATACCCATGAAAATTCATGTATATATGCAAGTTTTCAAGAGATAAGTACATATATACATATTCATACATATATACATATGGAGAGAGAATGATAGTTTCAAAAGCCTGCAGTAAATAATGGTTTAAGGGTCCCTGTATGTGATTTGCAAAATAGATCCCCCTTCCCATTTTGAAAAAAAAGGAAAGTCAAAGGTTATAGAGCTAAAAGGCTATCTGCTATATTATTCAAAACTGCTTAGATCATAGCATGTCCCACAGACTCATTTAGAATTATTTTAAACAGCAGATTTTTACAAAGTGTTTTCATGACTCAGGCTTTTTTGGAATTAATTTCATATATCTTTGTATGTCATATATATGCATACTAAGCAGCTTCTTAATTGTTTTCTGGTAATGCTTATTATTTTTGACAAACTGACTTTAAACTAACTTAAGATAACATTTTTCCTGGTAATTTTTTGGTGCCCCCTTCCCCTTTTTTCTGATTACTTCTTTTTGAATGCTGTTCCAAATGCTCCTAAGGTATTTTACATAATGTGCCTGTTGCCTGTATATTTTCATTAATAATTTCAGCCTTCCAATGGCAAATCATTTTGGGGAAGATCTTTAAGGTCTGAGAATGACTTATATAAATACTTATAAAAAATAAGCACACCAATGTGTCTCATAAGGTACAAAGCCAGTGACTTCCCCCCTACAAAGTTTGGTTATTTTCCCCATCAACCTTGAAGGATAAAATGAACAGGGGTTTACTTCCCAATTGTGTTTGTTTCCTATCAGAAGATTACTGACCCCAGGGGTCTCTCCTAAGCTTTTCAGATAATGTTACCGCAAATGAGGTTGTGTGAATGTATTGGAGATGGCAGGAATTTCCTTTGTTAAGATTCTTGCAGCAATTCAGGATCTGCATTTTAGGTCTCATGGCCATTAGCCATGGAATGTGCACTTTGAAGTCATCACCACTTGCCTTTCCAAAAGAGTAATGATAGAATAAGACTTTTCTTATCTTAACACAAGATGATTTGTACCAAAGTGATCGTGTAGTTGGAAACAACATGGTTTCCCTCAAATAGCCTATTTCCAGAAAAATGCCCTTTCGGAGTTACACTGCTATTCTCTACCCACAGCCATCTGAGAACAGATCTTGCTACCTCCTCAAACCTGTATAATCTCTCTCCATATATAAATATTGTATATACTAAAACAATACACACAATGAAAAAAAAAAACCAGAGGGCAAAGTGCTGTACTCCTAGCTACTTCTTTCCCATTCATAGATATTATCAGCAAGGTGAATTATAAATCAGGTGTGTGCTGAGCAACAGGGGTAAACAACAGGCTGAGGAAAGAGCCCAGGCAGGTAAGACAGGTGTTGGGATGTAACTGCAGTGCTTGTAAAAGTATACCCATTGCTACATGCAGGGCTGGAGAGCCTCCCCAATGTTGACCTGCGATGTAGGGCTACAGTTCCACAAGCAATTGAAACTGAAGTTGCTGTTACATTCCTTGAATCCAAAGTTACAAAGCAAGGATTACCCAGGGGAGATCCCATTAGGAAACATGGCACTGAGAGGGCATGCACGAAATATGACAGGAGGCAACTCAGTTCATTCAGGTTGAGTGACATACCTCTTTCCCCTGCCAGGATCATCCAAGATTGAATAAACAGTAGAAAAACAGGGAGGAAATTTAAATAGGCAATCAGGCATTAGTTGGGACTGATGGTGTGCTACGCGCTAGAAATAAATTAATTTTACATTGTTTTTATTAGAGAGTTATTGTAGGTTTTATTTTAAATGTGAAATTATTTTCCAAAGGTTTTTTTAATGCAAGATAAAAAAAACCCATCAGTGATAAGGAAAGCAGAAAAGAGGGAATTAATATTATAGGATTAAAATGTATAAACAAAGGTTCATTTTTTTGGAATAATTGGTTCAATTATTTTAAAACGGTGATTTATAAAAGCTATATCAAATCACTGCAATTTCACTGAACCCTGGAATTAATTTATGTAGAATTATGTCAACCTATGCACTCAGTATATGCAGCATGCACTGTGTGTTACATGGGTGCCATATAATAGCAAATCCATTCTAATCACAAAGCGGTCAGAATGTTATATATGGATTTGTTTAGGCTGAAACAGGATTGTTCTTAAGCTACAATTACCATTAAGAAAAAGGGTTGCCTGCCACTTTATGTAATCATACAGACCACCCTTCATCCACTTGTGTTCTCCAGATGTATGAGGTCTACAATTTTCAGAATTGATGACTAATATTACCAAGAAATTTTGGGAGATGTAGGGACAGTATATCTGAAGGGCATCATGTTTGGGAAGGGCATGATACACCTTTAGATGTAAAGTACAACTAGGAATGATTCAGTATCTGCCATATGAAACATGTCATCTCAAACTTTATCCTGGTCTGCTAAGTTATTTTCTCACTGTTTACCTCTAGGAATGGCCATCACGGGTTTGTCTAGCATGTTGCTAGGCTCTACAGCTGATATGAAAATGAACTGGAGGAGTATGATGCTACTCCTGGCCTACAAGAATCCAGAATGGACTAACCTAAGGGTCAGGTTGCTCCTCCAATTACTATAAATCAAACAGTGTGAATAAGCTAGTACCTAAATCTGTGATCTGAGATTATGAGAAACCTTAGTACTTGTATTTTATGATATTAAATTAACCATCTCCTTCCTGAATGGCTTACACCTAAAATTTATGTTGTTCAAGATTTCTAGCACCCCTAACTCATTACAAAGCTGCATACTCATGAAGTATGCTTCATTTCACAAGGCATAAGAAATGTTTAACTTCCTAAAATGTCTCAAAAGTTGGATTTCCAGAAAACCAGCAGTAGAAGATGACATGGGAGAGAGAAAGGAGTTATAGCAATATTTGCAAATTCATTTCAATAATATCCATGGCTTTATATTTATTGGCTGTCACAGCTATCTTCCTCTGAGCAATGGCTTGTTAATGACACAGTCTCATCACCTTATTATGTCTTCTTAGGCAGATTCACATCCCTGTTTGTAAAGCATATGGAAATTGTGCTGCTGGCAATTGTTCACGGAAGCCATCTTGCAAGGAAAATATTATTTCTCGCAGATCTGGACAACATCTTTTCTTCCATGATTTTACCTCCCTAATCTTCATCAGAGTGAAAAGGTGATGGAGGAAGAACTGTGCCTAACGTGAATTAAAACTATTACATTGGTTCTCAATATAGTTGTTTGTAGTTATGGTGTATTGTGGGCTCCTGGGTACAAGTAGAGCTACAGATCAAATTTCTCTTGCATTTACCTCATGAGGCAAGTGACAATCTTATCTGTTTCTGAAACTCAGATTAATCCACAGAACTCCACCTCATCTGTACAATCCACAGAACTCCACCTCATCTGTACAATAATTTCATGATGCTGGGGCGATTTTAAAATGGTCTTCCTGAAGCTTTCACTGTCCTCTATACCTTTTAGTGATGATCTCCTTAGAGAAGGCAGAGAAGTGGTTCAAGGTGGAGATTCTCAATCATCCAGGTCATTATTGTCCCAAAGGTGCTTTTCCAAAAGGCAACTGGGCTCCCTTTGTTTTTTCCTTGAAAATGTTTTGCTTCTCATCCAAGAAGTTTCTTCATTTCGGATGAGAAGTGAAAAGCTTTCAAGGGAAACAAAAACCAAGAAAGTCCAGTCACCTTCTGGAAAAGCACCTTGGGATGCCTTGAAGTAGTAGCTCTCTGATGCTTTGCTCCCTTATTTCTTTGGGCGGGTTCTAACTTCCCTTTTCACATGTTAACATCTTAATATATGACTTTACCATCTCCTGCAAAATCCCCTCTGAAATTAAAAGAAAAATATCAAACTTGACTCCTATGACTTCCATGTAGACCTTTTGGCAGCAACATGGACATATTTTACCCCTGCCTTCTTTCTTTTTCAACTTCCCGATCTAGCCTACAGCTCTGGGACTTCTGACTTTGCTTAGCTTTTTCGAGATACAAGCTATCTGGAGGTTTGGTATCTTTTATGTTGTAATTATTCAGCTCTTAAAAGCACATGGCCCAAATCTGCCTCATTATCAGTCACGGATAAGTGCATACAACTATCATGGAAAGCTGAATCTAGAAATGATGATTATTCAAGATGACAATCTCCGTCATAGAATAAGGTTGTGGGACTTTTGTATAAAACCAAGAAGACATTGCATTCTAGCACAACGTATTTACACAAATGTTTTCATTAGCCATCTTCTGTGAAAGTTGATATTGAAGCAGTCCTCAGGAACACAGTTTTTGTAGGGACCCACACAAGAGGAATTTTCTTGATAAAATCATAAAATCACACAAAAAAAAGTGAGCTTGCATTGTGCCCCTGTTACTTGATGACATTTTTCAAATATATTTCCACGCAAAGTTGTATTTATTGAAATTCAGAGATATTTTGGGGAGAGAATGGATTGTCTTACTTAAGATTCACCTAGGACATAAAGCATTATGTCTGCAGTTTGCAGAGGTACACCCTTGCTTTAATAGTTCTTGATTGGAAAATTTTAGCTGACTGCTGCTCACCTCTGCGTGATGTTCTTCATTTTGCTGCAGAACTTCAATCACCAATTCCGCCAAACGAATTGTATCTTCTAGCTTTTTGGCAGGCGTAATTAACCGACCTACATTTTCTGCAGTACAAGAACTTGAATTAAAATGGAGTGAGACAGAAGAAGCTCAATATAAGGCCAATCAATTAGGTAGTTAATTAAAAATTGTAATAATTGCAATCTGAAAGAAATCTACATCATGCAAGGATTAAAATGCTATATAGTTAGTACTGAGCAAACTATGAAGCAACATTTGTTGTTATATTAAGAAAACAGCGCTCCAACATTGAATTTAAAAGATATATAAAGATTGCTTTCCTTTGTACTGATAGCCAGTATTTAACTTGAAACTGAGAAATGTAGAGAAATTTCCTAGAGACAGCATCTTTCTGGTATCTACATTAGGACTATTTAATTTCACAGTTGATACATACATATATCTGTGCTCTAGATTTGAAATTTTCACAATTTGTGTATTGTATAAAATAATCTAAGAATTAGTAATGTTGAAGTGGCAGATTAAAATGAACTCACCCTATTTTGCATGAATGAATTTATATTCTTTGAACTTTAGACTGGCAAAAACAGAAGAAGTCTCTCATGTTTATTTTTGAGAAATCTAAGGAGCTGGGAAAGGGGGTGGAAAAGAGAAAATGCTGACCAGCGACAAGTTAGATGGATTCAATTACAATGGTGATAGTATATTATTAGAATACTTAATGGGTCCGGTTTGGGACAGATCACCCTTCTAACTATGTAATCTCTTAAATCTGATACCAGACAGATGGCACGTAATCAAACCACATCTAAGCCAAATCATTTAACTGAAATGGTTGTTCCTGTATCTTGATATAATGTTTGAATATGGCATGACTGTGTACAAAAGTATTGTTACATGTAATGTAAAAAAATCCCTTCCTAGTTCATGTACAATTGTCCAGAATATTTTCATGAGAGTCCAAAGAACAGAGGGTGGTTTTTTTTTGACATTCTCCAAAAGCCAGATCAATTATACATTAGGGATAGCTGAATCATATTATTTTCCTTCCTTCCTTCCTTCCTTCCTTCCTTCCTTCCTTCCTTCCTTCCTTCCTTCCTTCCTTCCTTCCTTCCTTCCTTCCTTCCTTCTTTTAAATATTTATAGTTGCCCACCTTATATCAAACTCTGGGCAAGTCCCAATCAAAAATTAAAACAATATCCATATTAAAACAACACAATGCCATATTCAATATATTAACCCTTTAAACATTAAATTCTTATTGTGTGTTTAGTCCATAGGGAGATTCGTGGGAGTCCTATTTCAATTTTCTGGTTTTCTAAAAAAAAGAGCTCTGCTTAAAGTCACATGTAAATATAAGTTTAATATTTAATAAATATAATTGTTTATTCAATGTGGCTTTTTTTAGAGAAGAAAAGTGTAAGCAGACAACCTTTTCATTCTACATTCCACTCCAAGGTCTCTGTCTCCCTCTTCTAGATTTTCAGGAACCTGGCCATATGATTGTGTAATAAGCTTCCTCCTATCCTTGACCTTTGTGAAAACTTCATGGTCTTTAAAAGACATTAACACAGTGTTTCTCAACCTTGACAATTTTAAGGCATGTGGACTTCAACTCCCAGAATTGGAGTGGAATTCTGGGAGTTGAAGTCCACATGCCTTAAAATTGTCAAGGTTGCAGATTTCTCCCCCCCCCTTTTTTTTTACTAGTAGGTGATTGTGTGGTCTCTTTCACCTGTTTAATTCTTAGCAATGTTGTCAATTCCTTAGTTTGATTCCTATTTTATATATGCCCTTAAAATTTTATTGAATGGAAGTTTGTAATTATTGCATTTCCTTGAATTGTAATATAGCTGTTAAAGATACTTCATAAATACAAATTATTATTTTTGCTATTGTTGAAATTTGTTAAAGCAGTCCACTTCAGCTATTTCAGACATGTGAGATTGCTTGTATATCTCCTTCCTCATGTCATATTGAAGTCTTCCATGACTTGTAACCAAGCTGAGAAAGTATTGCAGAATTGCTGCTTATTAGAATAAGAAACCAAGAACTGATCATGTGCACCCAAATTAATCAAAGTTTGCTGGCTTAGTCAATCAGAAACTGATTGACTGAATCACAACTTAAATGTCAAATTCAGGCACTTGACAAAAGAGCACAGAATCACAATTGTCTAGCAATTGGTAGTTTATTAGATCCAAGTGATTTTATCTGAATCCAACTAAAAAGGATCAATGCATTTAACCATTCTTCCTGCATAGATTTGATTCAAGAGCAATAGTCCATTTGTGAATCCTTCCTTCATCTCTTCTAAAAAAACCAACAAGGAGAAAATGAAAAGCACTCTGTTCTTATTATGTAGATTGTGCAAGTTTTCCAACAGACAACATTTTTCTATGAGGAAGAAATAAAAAAAAGGAAAGGTGCAAGAAAGAAACAGTTCTGACAACAATCTTCCAATACGTTTTGGCTTGCTACCCAATTTGTGATATGCTAATTACTAGACTTTGGACACCCTTTAACTTGTGGAGGGAATATGTAGTAAATATTTTATAACAAGTGATTTGCAAGATTCTGTCTCTAGGTAAAATGTAAATCCATCTCATACTTGATTTTCTTTTTAATAACTTTTTTGAGATGACTCCTTCAATTTATTGCATTGTATAAAAATAGTGGAGCGCTGCTCAATGAAACAACAGAGTTTTCAATAACTTCATACATCATTAAAATCATACAAATTCACAGGTCTCATGCAAAATGTTATGCAACAACAATGTTATTTTGTGCTGACGTTGATATTTGAAAATGTTGCTTATGTCAGACATTGCTAGACAGAAAATGTAGACATTTTGAAACCAAAGCTATTTCTAAAAGCATTGCACTAGCCATTTCTGGATAAAAGCTTATGGTGGGAATTAGCTTCATAGAATCTACGGTAAATTAAATGGGAAATGACTAAGCTAGCAGTTCATTGAATTAAAAAAAAAGAATTTTTTTACAGTACTTGATTCTTGCTTAGGTATGCCTTTCAGCATCAGATTGATCATGTTAGCTTGTGTATTAATAGATGGAGTGGGCCCAACTGGGGCTTTGGGCACTGATGATCGAGCTGTTTGCGAATGATGTTGAAAGACAGCAAAAATAAAGACACACGTGATTTCATAAACAGTGACAAAAAAAGATGGTAACTTTGAAGGAAAAGTAAGCAGAAAATGATAAAAGTACACATGGAAGAGCTGCTGTTTTGCTTATCGTCAACTCAAGTACTACACAATTATGACAACAAACATTTTTATCTCAAGTTGACAGATTCCACTATGCGAGGAGAGTTCACAATCTAAGATCCTTAAAATTCAGTGTGAATGCTAATTGTTATTTCATGTAGCCAAGTGCAAAAAGCAAGATTTTAGTAGAATCAATTAGGTTTTTTTTTTAAATCTGCATGTGTCAAATGTGAAATAGCATTGCCAGCCTTTTGCATCCATATAGGGAGAAATATTCTCTCTATAGATTGCTCCCAGACATAGTCAGTATTATTAGTTGAAAAAAGAAGGAAGTTCCCCAAATAAATTATTTTGCAGACACCAAGTTTTTTTTAAAATAACAACACAAATTTGGGCTGAAGACAAAGCTAAAAAATTCTTAGTGCAATTTAAATATGTACTCAGATCTCTCACTCCCCCCCTCCCAAATGTGTGGTATCTGATAGTTTCCAGCTTGTTATTTTCTACTTGGAATTCTAGTGTCTTTTATACTCTGGGTTGAATCATATATAAAAATTTGCCAGTTCTATCAAATATGTTACTTTGCCATTCCAAATGTTAGAATACTACAGATCAGGACTTGACCCATCTGTCATATAGTTTGTGATATCAGTCTAAGGGATATATATATATATATATATATATATATATATATATATATATATATATATATATATATATATATATATATATAATGTATAATATATATTATATATGTATATAATGTAATATATGCATTTTATATTATATATATATGTATATAATGTATAATATATATTATATATGTATATAATGTAATATATGCATTTTATATATATAAAGGATTCGCATTTTTAGCATAATTAGGCATCAGTATATATATATATATATATATATATATATATATATATATATATATATACTGATGACTAATTATGCTAAAAATGCGAATCCTTTATTTCTACGATATACATACTATATATATCTATATGTAAAATATTCTTCTGTATTAACACACAACATTCTATATGATGAATGTATTTGTCCTATATTTTATGTTATATTTAATTCAATATTTTAATAGCCAAAGCACTTTTCTAAACAATTCTGTCTCTAAAGATTTGGCATATTTATCTGGATGAATTACTTCCAGAAGTAAGTCTCTCTCTCTCTCTCTCTCTCTCTCTCTCTCTCTCTCTCTCTCTCTCTCTCTCTCTCTCTCTCTCCCTCCCTCCCTCCCTCCCTCCCTCCCTCCTTGCATTTCCAAGAAATAGAAACCCAGGTTTGGTCATTTATTTTAAAAAGCATTAATTTTAAGTGTTATAAAAAGAATAAAGGGAATACAAGTTCAAGATGGTACAGATACTTATCTATATAAGACAGGATGTCATTTTCCCATGCTATTCTTAATTAATTCTTAAGTTAAGAAGTTACGTTTTTTGGGGATTCTTAATTAAGAATTAATTAAAAATCCCAATATTCTTAATTAAGAATCCCAATAAACTTCACCAGTTTAAACTCCATTTAAATCCAATGTCTGTGTTCTGGATTGTAATCTTATTTTAATTTAACTACCAATCCCATTGTGACATACAATTGAAATGTTTCGAGTTGAATTTAGCTTGGCTGGCCAACCAAAATGTAATGGAACATGTAACTAGAGATTGGATAATGGATGCTTTTAATCATGCTTGTTTTCATTTTATTGATTTATCACACTACTTTTTCTAAGGTGAATTTACAGGATTTCTTTTGCAGTATTGAAAACTAAATGAACTTTCTGGGAAGGGGAGGGCGAAGATATAATGTGGGGAACATGTAATGCTTGTGTCTTAGGTTCAATTCTTGCCATTGTGGTGACATATCTGAGCAAATCCTCTGCACAATGCAGATTTTTGAGCCCCTATTCAAACTGCCACATAAACAAGGATGCCCTTTCTATTCCAAGATATTATTTTATTTAAATTTATTTAGGGTATTAGGGTTTTGAAGGTAGAATGCGTCATTCTACCGTTCTATCTCCTTCCTTACCATTCTCTTAGGTTCATATTTGCAAATGAGTAAACATCTGAAAAATCTATTGTAAAACAGAGATGAAACTAGTGGTGGGGGGAGCTTTCTGGAGTACAATGGAGGCAAATTTCTTTTTGAGCAGGAGAAGGTTGTCACCCACTCTTTTGAATTCTTTTCATCAAGTTCAGATTAGAATGATTCGGCTGGAGCAGGGTTAGGCAACCTTGGCTCTTTTATGACTCAGGAATTCTGGGAGTTGAAGTCCAAGAGTCATAAAAGAGCCAAGGTTGCCTACCCTTGGGCTGGAGCAATTGCTCTGGAGGTTAAAAGAACTGTAGGGTTCCCTGACAATTTACTTAAGAACAAAGCCTTCCAACAAGCAATCTGTACACTGCATATTCATAAAAAAGGTAAGTGAACCACAAAACAAAGATACAACTTATTCTCTTTGGAGCTATGAACAAACAACTGAATGGCACATCTACTATAAGAACAAACAAACAGCAGATTCTAGTTTTCCAATTCAGGTTATTCTTTAACTGGGAGTAAATCTTTGGATGCCTATGGGCATATCTTTGTGCAGATATTGCTGCAAATATTCTGACAACCTCTACTATTCAAGATAACTATTATGCCTCTATTGCAGAACAACGTTCAAGTCTCAATATTCCCATGTGTTTAGATTGTGATGAACGTTTCAAATACATATTTTCTATGCAACATATGCATTAAAGTTAATGACAGGTTTTGTAGCTTAACCTATTTTTTCTTCTTTTTTTGCAGCAAAAATAAGCTTATATTCCAAATAAAGGAAATCTCATTTTTCACTGACTAAAGAAAGAACAGTGAAAAAGTTAAACACTATTTCTACTTCAAAACAATCCCCATAAAAACTTTAGCAATTCAGTCTTTTGGGCTTCTTCTCCATAATATTGCTTGAGCCATAAAACAAAAGGCACACCCAGGTTATAAGCAGGAACTTGATTTAGCAAAGTTTTCCTACGCTTGACTAGGCAACTGGAAGTTTGTTAAAACCTATTTCACAAGAAACTAAGATTGATAAACCAGCATCCCTGGCCTCCTAACATTCCATTTCATTTAGTAAAAGAAGAAATGAAAAGCTGCAGAATCAAATAGGTCAAGGTAGGCCTTTAGCTGTAGAAGGCAGTTCACATTTATTCTGCCTTTATTTGATATAATGGGAGTTGTAGTCTTTTCTACTTTATAGTATATTAATTATGATCAAATAGGATAGATGACTGCCATAACTATCTAGTAATCTGTATAACTTCTAAGAAAAGAACATGTTGAGATAAAAGTTTTCTATCTCCTCCATTCTGCCATTCTGGAATCTGCAAAATTTGGCAAGGAGGTTGACCAAGTTCACTAAGCAATATTAAAATTAAGCGGCCCACTGCTAGTTTTACATTGGTCTCTATAAGTCATCATAAGAAAAACAGGTTTGCAGATTTAAACAGCACTGAAACAGGGCACCTGATCTCTGCTCTTTGACAATCCTTTTAACAATGACAAAGCACAGTTTCCATTTTGCTCTCATAATCTCCCTGCTGAATCAGGTCAAAAACCCATCTCACACTGTTATTTTCTAATAACTGCTATTCAGAGGAAAAATGCCTCTAATCCTGGAAAGAGCATACTAGCATGACTAATAGCTACTCTTATCCTCCATGATCTCCTTTGGAATTCACCTAAATTAATGGCCAAACTCTATCTTCTTGTTGAAGACTTCCTGTTGCTTCAGGAGTCGGCAAGTAGCGCTGTATTTGCAGACTCTTTTCCTGGACAAATTGACTGAATTGCAATAGCAACATTTCATTTGAACATGGAAGTGAAAGTCATAGGAATCATAGAATTACAGGGCTGGAAGAGACCTTGGAGGTCTTCTAATCCAACCCCCTGCTCCCATGGCAGGAGACCTTGAATCGTCCCAGACAGATGACTTCCAATTCTTTCTTGAAAACCTCCAGCAATGGAGAACCCACAACTCAAGGAGGAAAATTGTTCCATTTTGTTCTCACCTTCAGGAAGATTCTGCCCCACCTCTCTCTGGCAGCCCCTCATGTACCAGAAGACAGCTATTATGTCACCCCTAATTCTTTCCTTCATTAGGTTAGACATACCTAGTTCCCTTTACCTTTCTTTGTATGATTTATCCTGCAGACCCCTTATCATCTTAGTTGCTTTTCTCTGCACTCTTTCTAGAGTCTCAACATCCTTTTTGTATTGTGGTAACCTGTGGTGGGATTCAAATATGTGAACAACCAGAGTTGGGTGCAGTTTCTGGAAGTCCATTCTGGGCCTGGGCAACAAAAAATTAGCTACTGGTTCTGCCGAAGTGGTGCAAACCAGCTGAATCCCACCACTGGTGGTGACCAGAATTGGATGCAATATTCAAAGTGTGGCCTCACTAGTGCCATATTAAGTGGTACTATCACTTCTCTTGATGCTATCCCTCTGTTGATGCAACCTGGAACTGCTCTGGCTTTTGGGGCAGCTGCAGCACACTGCTGATTCATACTCAGAGGTCCCTCTCACAGGTAGTACTGTTGATCCAAGTACTATCTATCCACTATCTGTGCATTTGATTGTTTCCTCCCTAGGTGCAGGCCCTTACTTTTCTCACCACTAAACTGCATCTTGTTATCTAGGGCCCAGTGTTCAAATTTGTCATCATCTTTCTGAATCTTTAGAATCCTTCTGAATCCTCCAAAGTGGTAGCAATTCTCCCCAACCTGGTGTTGTCAACAAGTTTAACAAGCTCTCCTTTTATCCCCTCATCAAGATCATTGATGAAGATGTCTGAAGAGCACTGGTCCCAGAACAGAGCCTTGTG